TTAACATAAATGAGTTCGTTTTGAGTTTTACCTGATTCTTCATTTAACCAGGTAGCTTTTACTTTATCCATGTATTTTTATTTTTGAACTTAAATATTGAGACTTTGCATTTTGCAATCTTTTTTGAAATTATTTGAATACAACCTAACATATTCCCTAAATTCCACACTAGTGTTATATTGCATTTGTATGTTTCATAAATTTAACCTTTCCTGGTAACTCCTATTTGCCAGTCACAGAAACTTTTTTCTCAGAGACCAATAAAGTCTTTTGAGTAAATACTTTCTTGAATTCATCAATAAATGATCCAAAAAGTATTGTAAAATTAAGGATATTGCCAAAGAAATGGCATTCTATAGACCAAGCTTCTCTAAATCTGTAAACGGTATTTGTAATAGGATTATCACAATTTTCTTCTTTTTACATGTTTTTTGTTTCCTTAATTGGAATCAAACCATTGACCAGTGTGATCAGATTTAAATCTATTGAAAATACAAACATTCAAAGGGGCTATGTCACTATATATAATCTAACAAGTTGGGTGCTAGTGTTATTCTTGTGGGTGAATGAAATTGATTTATTAAATTGTAGAACGAAAAAGACTAAGTATGCGTAACTTGAATTAGAATGACAAAGTAAATTGACATTAAAGTCCCCACACACAATTAGCCCTTTATTACACTTTACTAATTTACACAATATCTCCTCTAATACATTTTCAACATTATTATAGACAGCTGATGGAGGACAATAAGACATACAACAATGAATTGCTCCAGTTCCACAAGGAGATTTCAATAGTTCTAAGAGAGGCTGATAATATCCTTTCTTTCTTTGCATTTAAGTTTTTTACTTATTAGATTAATGAGCCACCATGAATTGCATTTTCTCTGCAAAACACACTACCAACCCTGTGGTTACAAAAATTAAACAAAACTTCATATTTTTTTAACCAGTGCTCTGTTATGCACAAAAAGTCTATTTTTGACTATTCAAGAATAGTTCAATTTCTAATTTTTATTTTTCATCCCTGTATATTTTGATGAACCACAATAATATTTTGGGAATGAATTTTATAATAATATACTTAACTTATTATTGCAAGAGTGGTGCTTGTCCTATTATCAATTTAAATAAATATTATTTGGAATTTTTCAAGGTCTTATAATCTAATGCTTGTCAATAGAAGAAGGGGTCTGCCAAATTTTGGCTGTCATCTCTATAAAAATGATAGCGAAACAGCTATCTGTCTTTTTAAGAAAGCAGGTAGGTAATAATATCTACCCTTTGTAATAAAAAACTTTTTCGTATACCTATTGGTATCTATGACACAAAATTTATCATTATACATTGCCAATGTATGAATGTTTGATTAAGAATAACTGATTTCTTCCTTAGGAAAGCTTTGGCTATAGGGAAATGTAAACATAACAATCCTCTTAGAGTCTAAACAACAAAGTTTTTCATATAATACTAAAAGATATTTATTTACATTCCCCTGTTCCCTATAAAAATTATTAAATTATAATTATCATTGGATTATATGATTTTCACAATGTTTTTAAAAGTGGATTAGGATAGCAGTGTTTATAAATGTTTGGCGTATTTAATTGTACAAAGACCCATGTCCTTACCCATTTCATGGAATACATTAAATTCCTTTCTTTTGCCTTAATTTTTTTCCTTTAACTGAGTGTTTGTTGTGGTGTAGGTGAGGTGTGAGTGTGGTGATGTTGTGGTAAGGAGGCTTTTATAATTGAACCATAAGTTTTATTCTGTAATGCTCAAAATCTGCGGTGTAATTAGAAATTTGAAGCAGATCTTCCATTGCAGAAGAATATTTTTCTACCATACATTGTGATCTTCAAATTTAGAAGTGAGACTGTTTGTAAGTTCTTGTAATTTAAAAATTTCTGTTTTTAAATCTAATGTGTCAGATTAATTTTAATTTAGCATTTTCAGTTTCAATTAAATGCAAGTCAAGTTATTTGAAGTTGTGTGTTTTGAACTTTTAAATCCACACTAATTTCTATATTGTTTTACTAATTGTGTCTTTTTAATGTATTATAATTTTAATAATTTCTTATTTTGTTTTACCTAAACTTTTTAATATGAGTTGGTGTAGAACTGAATCATGAATTAATGATATAAAATGTTTGGGTGTATTAATTGTGATATGCCTAGGTTATAATAATGTTGAGCTAAAGTTTTTTCAAGACTTCTTATGCGCAGCAAAGCAACTTAACTATTACCATAACTATCAGTTTATTATCCGTGAAGATAACAATGATCTTTGAGTGAATTATTTTCTTGAAAAGAAGGACATTTCATTTTTGAGTTTGTTGCTTCGAACTTAAGATTTTCATTTTCTTCTCTTTCACTTGTTACTGGGTACATAAATCCGAAGATGAATCAGTCAGTGTAATTAAGTTTAGACTTTCTTGCAAAGCCAAGCCTCTGGAGTCATCAATTGTATAATAGGGACTGTATGCAATGAACAAGCGAAAAAGGTATGTATAAAAGATTGTGAGTGGTGGAGTTGTACTATTTACCTATAAATATATAATGAAACCTAAAACACACAAATGGGTTATTTTGTCAAGTAAATTATGTGGTATAATTGTCTGGGCGAATGTTTTCGTGTCGATTTTGTCCACTAGTTGTCAGCAAAATGAGACATAAACCGTGCCAATGTGTGATGGACGTAGCTCCAAAACTGAGCAGTATTTTATGATTTATGTAGTCAGTAAATATAACTTAAATAGAACAAAATACTCCCCAGGTTTGAGATATTTTAAACTAGTTACCGTTAAGGCTTGATTGACAGCGTTTAGATCCCTGTTTTGCCAAGTTCTGCGACAAAAAACACTGTATAATCATTTATATTATACACAAATCTTATTTTTAACTATATTACCCTAATTTAACTAAATTTAAACCCTTAAAATTATTATTTTTAAAATTAAATGTAGAGGTTTTCTAACTAAGGTGAGATGGAAATTCTATGTATACGCAAGTTTTTGTGGTATATTAGTTAATTATGCAGCGGCAGCGCTAGTGCGTTACAATGTCGAGTGTTGACTCTTTATCCTATATAATATAATGTATTCTATGCTATAATTATAGTTTCTACGAATACATTGTTTAACGAAATTTTCTACTTACTTTATTTACTTTCTTATATTATATTGCGTGTACCCTATACAGCCAAAAAATTTTATGACTTTAGGCACGCTTTATCACGTGAGCATTTTAATAAAAAACGCCGGTCGAAAAATGATTTTGTCTGAGGCCAAGATCGTATTACGCTACTCCCGCCAAATTCTCAACTTTGCACGCTGAGCAAAATAGGCGAAATATTTTCAATTGTATTTTACATAACAACGTTTGACTTATGTCTGAATAATTATTAACAAGTAGAATTATTATCATAAAACATACCATAAAGGTATTAAAAATATATTTAAAAACATACATTTATTGGTTTGATAAACTAGAAGTACTATACATATACAGCAATACTGAACAAACTTTTTTAATAATAATTTTACGTTTTGCTAAAAATGGGTTAGTGAAATAAAAAATTTGCTTATTTTTTATTTATTTATTTGCTTAACGGTATTCCTACAGCTACTTACTAAACAATATTCAAAAAACTACACTATACACAAAAGCCAAAAACGGAATACACATTTAAACATACACAAAGCACAGTTTCACCTATACAAATACAAAAAATACAAAGAATATATGTATTTATAATAAATTCTAAGATTCATAAACAATTAATAATAATTAATAATAATTCATTAATTATAACATATTTAATATAAAGGAGGAATAACAAACTATATTGTTTAAAAAAATACATTAATTAAAAATACGATATGTACCTAAAGAAGATGAAAAGTGTATAAATAGTAGGTATAGATGTAAAAATGCTATAAATATATGTGCTAAATAAATATATATGCTATAATATATAATATATACTTCAGCAAGAAAACAACAAGAAAAATCCTGTCTTGCCAGCATGCGATGGAAAGAAGCATCTTGAAGTTGAGGACAATTAACAAAATAAGAAATGTTGACATACGCAAAAAACAAAGCTTACAGATGCACTTAAACACGCTCTTAGGCTAAAATGGAAATGGGCAGGTTCTAGCAATATAACATATTGCTAGAACGCGAGATAGAAGATGGACGCTAGAAATAACAGAATGGACTGGACCTAATGGAAAAAGATGTATAGGACGACAAAAGAAGAGATGGACAGATGACAAAATGGAATTAGCGGGGAAAACCTGGATGAATCAACACTCAAGACAAAGAGAAATGGAAAAATATGGAGGAGGCTTAAAAGCCCTAAAACTAAAAACAAAACAAGTAAAACTATAAACCATACACGAATCACTGAAAAATAAATCTAACATAAATTTATACTAACACAACTAATACTAATATTAAGGAATGCAAACTAACCAATTGTTGTATGGGTTAATAAAGCTTTAATAATAATAATAATATATATACTAATGTATCACAAAATCCATAATTAAAAATATTGCTTTTTTCTGTCATTACAGTTTAATTTCGTCGAAGACTAACAATGATAATTAATACGTAAAAAACTTCACGTTTGTTTGTCTTTACAAGCATGGTATAGTAATGCCATCTTGCCTGGAAAAGGATTTTGGCGGCTTTTTGATATTATTATGAATGTTTAATCTGAATTTAACAGAATTAAACAAAACAATTTACATAGATTCTATAATCACCTATAAATAACCTTAAATGATTTTTTAATTAGGTATTGTCAAATAGCTTGCAACAATTATGTAGAAGTTTTTTTATTGTTTAATTACTAATGATGACAAGGCAACGAAATTCATTTATATTTACCTACTTCAAAGAAAAATTAAAATGATACCTAACACTTTTAAAATATAAATATATAATTTAAAATAATTTTAATTTTTAATTAAATCGTATACACATTCTTATGTAAAAATGCCAGTTCTAGTTAAAAGGTTTGTGGGCATTTCTACATTATTTTTCGTAATATATGGACGGACTCCTAAATTATTGGAGCTAGATAAATGTGGATAAAATTCATATCCTATAGACCTGGTATTTAAAACTTTAACCGGTAACTCGGAGGTTTCATTGTCTTCGTTAGGTTTAATTGTATTTGAAACTGTAGTATTTATTACTTCTTCCACTTGATATAAAGCCCTTTTTGTAGCATTTAGCATTTCTTCCGGATTAAAATTCGAAGCTAAATGTAGTACGCTTTTTATATCATTTTCTATAGTCGCTTTTTTGTCTCCCAATTCATCTATCATCTTAGCTTTCACTAACGCACCGTTAGTAACAACTAGTTTAGATATTTCCTCTTTTGCTAAATGTTTTAGGTCTTGCGATGATTCACTGATATTAGCAACTTCAATTAACTCTTCAAATAATTTAGCCGGGCTGTTACGTAATAATGGTCTTTTTTGAAGAATGTTTTGGACGTTATACTTATACGTTTGATACGGAAGTCTATACTTGACGTAGTACAGAGGTTTATAAACAAAAGATTGTGGACGCTGTAACGCAAACGTTAGCTCAACAATGCCATTTTTATTAGGTGCGATGTTCAATTTAGCCCAATTCGTCATAGTTGGGCGATTCAAATCGCTCAACTCTTTAGAAATATTAGGATTTGCAAATGTGTAATCTGAAATTGGAGCTCCCGATTGATAATGCGGAAATTGATTTACATTTAAGATATTATTCGGTAAATTTGTCATGCCACGATATTGAAAAGGATTTTGTACAATTTCCTGATTTCGATGCCAATTTGAAAATTGCGGATTAGAAATATATTTTTCTATAAACATATTTGAAGTTGGAAGTTTCAGATTAGGGTTGACAGGTGCACTAGGATAATATTGTTTTATTCGGTTATAGAAGCTCGGATTTAAATATTGTTTACCATTTTGACTTACTTGCGGTTGCCCTTGGACATTAGCATAGTACTTTCCAGTTTGAATATTCATGGGAGGCTTCAAATTAAACCCATTACCTTCATAACTAGGCACAACACCCATATTTTGCTCAATATAAGGAACATTAAATCCCGACTGCGGTGTAGGTATATTCCTGTTGAGGACATTATGTGAAAAAATTGGAACGTTTGCATTTAGGCGTAAGTTGTTGTCCCATGGTATATTGGCTGTTAGGTCCACAATGTTCTTGTTCACTTGTGTTGCATCTCCATTATTGTAAACGGGTTTCATATTGAACTGAGATGTAAAAAAGGTAGTCGGTGTAGTGTAATTATTTTCGAGTAAAGTATAATTTTGAATTTGAAAGATACCGTTAGGTTGGTTCATTACGTCCTGAGGGCCTGGTACACTTATATATCCTGTAGGCTGATTTAAAACCGTCAGAGCCTCTACTAATCCCTGATCTCTGGTTAGGTCATTCCAATTTCCAGTACTATCTTCATTATTTACTGTTGAAACTAGGTGTCCAGAAGGAGGCAAAATTTCCTTTACAGCAACAGACGTGTTTGGTTTAAAATGTTGAAAGAGATTCCATAAATTTCCATTCTCTTGAAGACCAGGAGCAGAATTTATTTGTACTTCTTGAGGAACAGGTAATCCATGATTTTTAATCATCTCAATGTACTTCGGCCTAAAACTCTGAAGTATAGTCAAGGGATCTGGGTTTTGGTTGTCATTTTTCAGTTTATCATCTTGAACCTGATGAAATAAATTGCCTTGAGCTGAAGGTGGAGGAACATTTGGGATGTTATTTTTAATTATTGAAATACTTTCGACGGTATATTCCGTATTCGGCCTATAATTTTGGAGTGAGTTTATTACATCACCGTTTTGTGGATACGATCCTAAGAAATCAATTATATTAGTTCGATTGATTAACTGATTCGAGGACGGTAAATTATTTACCTGTGGAAATATAGGTGCACCTCGCCAACCTACATTTCCAAGATGCAAAATATTATTACCTTGTGAATTGCATTTACCGGATTCTAGACAAAAGTTATTCAACTGTTGGTAAGCTGCATTAATGGCATTAACAATAGCTTTGAAAAGTGTTTCACAGTCGGGATGGTTTATTGTTGGCAATTCAAATTGTAGGCCTATTCTTCCCTTTAGTGTATCTGGTGGAACTCCAAAATGATAATCACTTCTAAGCACCTCTTTCTTCTCCCTGTGATTGAAGTTTTCAAGTATTGTCTTCAAATGCGATGTATGGTTATCGGTGATATCATCACTTCCATAAGTTGAGTTTAAATATTGTATCGTAGTGTCTAACACTTGTTTGAAATTATCTGGACTTAAAGTCAAACTTGTATCATCAATTAAATTTTCTTTTAAGTATCTTAATGTATCCAGTAAAATCTTATTGTTTGGACATAATCTACTATTGGGATTTTCATTAGGTTCCTGTGGATCTCGAGCCTATAAAAATAAATGAATATATATATACATATAGAATAATACGGTAGAATTAAATTTGAAAAGAAATACACGTTTTTATTGTTGTTGACGTAAACTTTTCTTCGCTAGAATAAAAAAAAATACCTCTTTCTTTAGATAGACCGGAGCAACAGCTATGAAAAAAACAACAAATCCCAGGTGCATGATGTTATCGAGCACCTAAACCATAGATGAATCAAAGTAATCCGCCAACAGGCCAATTGTTAGAGTACTGGTATCAGCGTGAAATCACGTATCATAATTGCTACAAATTCGCGACTGGTGTAATTATAAAACCATAGTCTCAAAATTACACTCATGATTTAAAAATATTTACATTTTCATTTCAATAATTTTTCATGTTATTATGAATATCATTGAATATGTATTCAAAAGGGGTAGTCGTATTGGTAAGAAATAAAACACAAAATAAACGCTTTTACTTTATTATTTAAAGGTTAAAACAGAAACAGAACAGAACTATCCCCTACTCTTCCGAAGTACTTTTTCAATACTTAATTCTACTAATTTGTTTGCTCTTTCAACACAGGATGCAATACTATCTGTGTTTATTTTCAAAAGTTCTTCTTGAAATTCTTTTTTAATAAGCTCTGTTTGTGTCTGTCGAGAGATATTTCTTTTTTCTAATTCTATCTGTAGATATTTAATTCGTGCTATAAGTTCTTCTGCCAAATTATATATTCTATCTTGTTCACTTATCATATCAATCTCATTTGCACTACTTTTGTGATTCAATATTTCCTGCAGATATTTTTTAAAGAAATTTGGATCTTCTGTTATACTTCTAGTGTTGTCGTCATTGAGCGAATGCTTCAGAAGCAATTCTTTTAATTTTTCAACTATGTCCTTTCGAATTGTATCGTCGCCAATATTTGGAAATAGAATAAGTAATTGCTCATAAATGTCATTTTCTTTCTTCTGCTGATCAGTGACAGTTTCTTGATTTATCGTTTCTATAATATCGAGGAGATTATCTTTGTTATTTAATTTATTTTTATCTACTTTGGAGTCATAGATTTTTTTAATAATATTTTCAATCACTTCCTTTTCAGTATTTTCAGAATTTTGCATTTCATTTTGGCGATGTCTTCCAATAGAGTTTTTGATTTTGGCTATTATATCAATAACTAAGTCTGGCGAAAGTTTATCAGGTATACGTTGATTGGTTTCCTTAATGGGTTGTTCTACTTTCTTGTTAGCGATTTCGTCCTTGATTACATGTAAAATAGAATTTAAATCGTGTTCTCCAGATAATTCCGGTGTGGTTTTGGCATTTACAAAATAATTTCTTATAATAGCTTTAATATCATCAGCTACTACATAAAAATTTTCTTTTTCTGTGGGGATAAGTGTTTGGTGTACAGGGTCAGATATTTTAGATTTTTCTGATTCTGGAAATACAACATATATGAGGAATGGCTTTCCGTTGTTATAATTTAAGTAATCTTCTACAGGTATATTTGAGAAGACAGGAACATTTGGATCTACTTGTTGTAAATATGGAAAGTTATTACCCATAACTTCATTTAAAATCTTTTTTAAAGTTTCAAAGTCTAACTTCGTTTTTAAACTATGATGCTGTGTCCTCTTTTGATTTAGGATATCTTTGCTCGTTATCATTTCTGTAATATTGCCGGATATAGGAACTTTAACTTTTAGGCCGGAACTTACCGGCTTTAAGAGGATTCGATTGTCTGGCTTAGACTTTGCTAATTTATTATCTACAATTGTCCGGAATATACTGTCAGTTCCGCTTTTTTGTGCTTCATGGACATTTTTGTTAGAAGTAATATTTGTGTGCACAGAATTTACACTTTCTTTTGTATTAACTTCAGAGGGAATTAATAACTTTCTATTTCCTTCTTTAGTTGTTATAATTTCATGTGAATTGTCTCTGTGTACAATGTCTCTTAAAGTGTTTAACGATTTAGACGTAATTGAAGGATAAGTAGAATCTTTTGTATTTATAGACAAGTTTACTGTGGGTGTTTCCACACCGGGCTCAAGTTCATTTATCACAGTGGAGTCTAAAGTTGTTGTTACATCGGATATCTTTAGGTTCTTTTTTTTACTATCAACTACATCTGAATCATCAAAAACGCTCTTCATGACATCTGAAACCGTATTTGTTGGTGGTTCAGTGTCAAGATCGATAACTCCAACGTCGGCGTTCTGTAAAAAATATATATTTAATTTATTATTAACTTAAAACAACTGGTAAATTGTTTAATTATTATTTTACTTACCGCTGTTATAAGCAGTTTCCCGAGATCTATGTCAATATTATTATCAACAATCAAAATCTTTACTTTGTTTACTATATCCGAATTTAGTTGTCCTTTGCTGCCTATGAATTTGACAAATGCAATAATAAGATTTTTAATGCGGTCGTTTGCGTCAGTATTTCGTCTTATAATGGCATAATATATATGTTCAGGCACTTTATGCTGTATGAATAAATTGTGTACTGCTTCTTCAATCCGAATTTTATTTGCAATATTCAATCGTGAATTTTCAATATTTTCATTTATTTCAATTGCATCTTTGCTAGGATTTTCGTTTTCGTCGTAGTAAATTACCAATTTTCCATTTCGAATTTGTTTGCCGCCCAAATTAGACCCATTAGAAGCCGTAAGATTCTGTATAATTTCATTTAATATATCTGCATTTAATTCTCTTTCTTTAGTTCCAAGTACGCGTACAGCGCCGTCGGTATGTACGTTTTTGTTTGTTTGTATATGTATTTCATTTTGCGATTCAGACTCAGGATATACACCTTCTATTTTGTTTAGCAAATTATCAACATCAGTTAAATCTGTACCAGTTTCCTTTTCATCCAATTTTGACGTTCCCACAGATTCGCTTGATAACATTTTCATCAACTGTTCATAGTATCCATCATCGTGAACCGTTTTCGCCTGGTTGTTAGGTATGCGGAAAATTCTTGAAATCGTGTGCTTTACTTTTCTCGATTGTGATTCATCGCTGGAGTTTCTTGCGTCCTATAGTAAAGAAACACTTTAATATTGAAGTTCTCAAAGTTTATTTGATTATAAACAACAGATTTTATTAGAATAATAATCTATTTAACTCTTACCAAAGGATTAGCGGCAGTCAAAACGAAGTTTATAGCGAGTACATAGCACAACGACTTCATCTTTACAACAACAAATTGATCTGATACTACAACAATTATATAGTCTGTCACACGTACTGTGGAAAATCATGAAAAATCACGACATGGACGTTTAAACTAAATTGCCGTATAATTTAGAATAAACAGAATTTTCAGCCAATTACTATTTATTATATTATTAAATTCTATATATGGGTACGTATGCGTCTGTAAGAATCGCAAAACTGCAGATTTTGTTTTAAACAATTTTAACAGTAAATACAAAAATTAGCCACACTAAACAATTACAACAATTAGTTAGACCGAGTCGAATTAAATTAAACTAATTGGTGGCTGCAGGTGTCGAAAAATGCATTATTTCATGCAATGAAGTAAATGAGTTAATCTTTCTGAATCACACTAAAACTGCTGTATCGGTTTGTTTTTGGAGTATGGATGAATGAGGTTTGGAAAAGGTGAAGTCATTAATTCTCTGGCACCATCTAGCTACTGATTAATGTAGAAAATAATAAGGTTCCTCCACATACTTAATATTTAACCAGTTTATAGGCTGTTTTTATCTTTCTTAAATTCTGGAATTTTAGAAAAGATTGATGGTATTGAATTAAAGAATAACCTAATAATTAACAAGTTATATATTAAAGACAAGTTATAAAAGTGCAAATTTTACATTTCATGTATTTTCCTCTTAGATAAATCGCAAAAACTATTAACAAATTCCATTTTTTTTTAGTCTATAACAGCTATTTATAAAATCAAGTGTTTATAACACATGTATTAACTTAAGAATATCTGACACTCTATATATAATTGGTTAACAATAAGTGTCATGACCGTAACAAGATAAAAATAATTTATTTATCTTTGAGTCCATCAAGTCTCGAAAGCTGTGCATCTATATTATGTTTAGATTACAGTAGTACTTTACCTATACCTTTATCTGATAAAAGGTCTCAATATAGATTCATAGTTAACAAAAAAAAAATTTCTATCTTGTCACAACTCATATATATCTACAGAACTATTGTTACTGGCTAACACAATTAGCATTGAAAATCTCGATCCAGTAGCCATCGGGATCCTGAATGAAAGCCAATCCCTTCATTTTGCCATCCTGGGGCTTTTTAATGAACTTCACATCTTGCTCTTCAAATCTGAAGCAAAATTAATAAGTTGTAGAAATTGAGTTTCAATGTAATTGTAAAAAAAAATGTCTGAAAAATATTTAGTTTTTGACATCTTAGTAACAGGACTTTCATTTTATTATTATAAGAAATCATAACATTGGTTAACCTACAGTTTCACAAACTCAGTTGCAATACATTTTATACTGAGACATATTGGTGCTAAATCTTGTGGTAATGGTAAAAAGAAACTTTATCTATTTAAAATTAAATAACTTCATGTATTTCCACAGCATACTGTTTTATCAATTTTCTGAGTGATTCGGCAATTATTAACAAAGAAGGCATTTCTAAGATAATAAACTCATTTACTCGAAAACTATTGTAGACGTTAGAGGCTGCACAAGCACACCTACCTAGCACAAGCAGCATCAACATCGGGGACCATGATTCCAATATGTCCAAACCCACGAGGATCCGAGTTACCATTATGATAATTAGAATCATCACTCTCAGTGCCCCAATTGCTGAAAATTTATATCATACATTATTCTTAGGAGATTGAAACAATTTTATCATAATTATTTGTAACTCTTTAAATTTAAATTAAACATTTTATAAAAATACTCCAGTGTCGATAAAAAGGTCAAATGTGATATTTATTATCACACCATGATTATAATATTAGGTTTCCAACTTCATAACATATCTGACAAACAAATGACAAAACAAAAGCCACTATTCTACTCAACTGTTCTATATTATATCTAAAAGTAATGTATCAAAATCATCATAAAGTTCTGCCTCTTGCGATGTTGAGGCGTGCACATTTGCAAAACTTACTATGTTAGCTCCAAAGTGGCTTTTCTTGACATCGCCCAAGAAGTCCTTTCTTTTTCATCTAATGGAATTTCATTGGAGTTTTCATATCCCATAAAGAATAATGAGAACTTCATTTCTGGAAAATGAAGCTGTTTTAATAAGGTCATGCCAAGTACTCCAGTATAGAATGGTATAGACTTTCTTGGGTCCTTGATGCGGTACATTGTTTGTTGAAAAATAAACTCCTGTAAAAGAAGAATTTTAAAAACTATATTAATGGTTTGTTTTTGTACAGTCTTGCAGTCAGCTACTTTTTAAGTATTGCAATTGACTAAGTAATGTTTAAAATAATAGTGGAAACGAGAGTTTACAAACCTTTGTAGCAGGATTTGGAGTTTTACATAACGCCTCGATTTCTTGAGGTGAAACTCCCTGGTGCGCCATGGTTCTAAAAAATGGTATCAAGGATTGAAATCTCAGACAAAATTTATTTAAAATACATGAAATTGGGTTATTTATTAAGAACTGCTGTGATAAGTGTATTTTTACCAGGAATCTTTCTGTATACACCTTATAAATAAATTCTAGTCTATTACAAGTTAAATCGGTTAATAAATTAGTAATCGAACTACTAACCCAGTGAAGCGAAAAACAGGTAAAAATTATAAGCACGGTATTTAAACTACAATATCACTGTGTAAAAAATAAAAATCCGTCATGCGTCAAGTCAACGGAGTAGTCGCTACTGTCAGATTGACATACGTAATCTCTCTTTGATTGGCTTATAAAAACATTAACACATTCCATATGAATCTGTCAATTAGGTTTTTCTATGTAATTATGTACCAAGTACTAACCAATGATTACGTTAGTACATAACAGAAGATGTAAGGTAAAATGACATACTAAAAATAAAATATCGTACAACGCCATCTTTGATTGCATAACTTATTTAACCAAAAAGTTAACATTAATATAAATTATTATATATTAAAACAATTAATATGAATTTCGTTTTTAAGCACATTTATATATAATTGCGTATAATATTCAATAGTTTAGCCTAAACAATAAGTTTAATGCTATTAATATGGAACTTCTTAATATATGGATAAGTATATTTTATCCAAAATTCATATCCTCTTTTGTCAATCTACAATAATTGTTAAAGATTATTGTTACAGAATAATTATTGTAAAAGGGTTCTCGTAGCAAAGTATTTATTCACCTCTATTCCCATTTCCCACACAAGCAAACTCACAGCAAATGCCATGTCAATCTACAGCAATATATAACAATAACCTAACCACCACTAGATTAATTGAAATTTTAGATAAAACCAATTTTATTGGAACAAAACACTCTCAATTGTGGTTTTTATTATTATAACAGTTATTATATAAGTATATCATTTCTTCCATCCAAATAAGATCTCTTTCTATGCTTGTAATACACCATTCATATGCTGCTATCATTCTTTCATCTTTTAAATTATCAACAAAAATATCTCCAATTATGCTTACAAAATCTCCTTTTTTAAACTTCAATTTGTTTTTTTCTTTTTCTTTAATTTTTTCCAGCATAAAAGACTCTGTTCTAACCCTCCTATCTCCAATTTTATAATTTTTAATGTGAAGTTCCTCAAGCTCATCTATGCAATTAGGTGGTAATTTATTATTATTTCTATCACTGTTGCAGTATACTTGTATGTTAGCTAAAAAAAATAGATATTATATAATGTAAGTTACATAGGTATACCATTTTTGTATTCATTTGGGGAAATTAGTTGTTTTGTTATTTTCTGAGAAGTTAGGTATTACTAATAATAAAAAACTTTTTAAAATTATGTATAATCATTGGGCACATAGGGTGAGTGTAACGATTCAGAAATCGGTCGCCGGAATTGGGGGCTGCGGAGAGGGGGTTTAGGGGGTGTATAGTTATCACCCCCAACCAATTTCAGGCGCCGGAAACAGTTATTTAAGTAAAAAAAATCAAATGAATGGGTTGGGTGTTGAATACCACCGCACTTTTTGACGATACTAATTTCTAGGAGTGTCGGGGGACCTTCATTGGAACACCTCCAAGTGAGTTTTGCTACAGGAAACGCTCTAAGTATTTAAAAAAATTTAAAGTTTTGTGCAATGTATTGAAATTTGTAAACAATCCGCCATTTTCTACTTTTCTATTGGTTATAGAATGTGACGTTCACTTTAAAAATCGTTTTTTAATTTATCGATTGTTACTAATCGTTTTATTTATTTACGATTATTTCCTATTTTTGAAATTTAAAGTTATAGAATAATCAACATTGAAATTAACCTAATTTCGTTTGATAGATTATAGGATCCGAAAATTTTTGAAATTATCGATACCTACTCGCTGTATTTCCTAATTAGTACTTGTATTTCATTGTTTGCAACTTTCTATATTATTTAATTTTTACTAGAATAAAGTGTTTACTTTAATATCCAAAAGTACCCAAAACCGAATCAGAGCACCCACTATCTACGTGGTCTTGTCTGTCTTACCCCTAGAGTGTATATAAATAATCGAGGCGGAGGATATATAAGCCTGTGCTTTGGTACGTAAGGGTGGAGGGGCTGCATTTCCGTAGCGCCGGAGCTGTCCAAAAAACAAATATTATTTAGATCGGTTAGGTTAGGTTAGTATATGAATATTTGTCGCCGAAGGCGACCAAGAAGCCGGGTTGGGGCTTGAATAAACAATTATTATTTAGATCGGTTAGGTTAGGTTAGTATATGAATATTTGTCGCCGAAGGCGACCAAGAAGCCGGGTTGGGGGGCTTGAATAAACAATTATTATTTAGATCGAGCTGTTCAAAAAACAAATATTATTTGATGTGTTAGGTTATATAGAATATTTATTTTTAAAATAACTGTTCAACTGAAACTGATCAACTATATTGATTTTCAATTATTTTTAATATTAAAATCGAATACAAAAATCGATTTTCACTTTTAAAGAAATCAATTTTTTTCACATCCCTATTAATTTTATAAACGTTACTTAAAAACGATTATTAACAATCGATTAATTAAAAACGGTTTTTTAAAGTGAATGTAATCTTTTATACCTATGAAACGTAGAAAATGGGGATTGTTTACAAATTTCAATACATTTCACAAAACTTTAAATTTTTATTAAAAATACTTAGACGCGTTTCCTGGAACAAAAATCACTTGGAGGTTTCCAATGAAGGTCCCCGAGACTCTGCTAGTTAGTATATATAATGCGACGACATCAAAACTGTTACCAAATGAATATATATACAAAACATACTAAGGAGTAGTGTAATACGTAAATTTTTTTGAAGTTTAATATGATAACAATATGTTCATTTAATACCTGTAGCGTCACTTAATTGAATATAACCGGATTTAGTAGAACCATTATATACCGACGTAATCACCCCGTGTAACATCACATTTTTAAATGTTTTGCCAAATATTTCGTAAACATATTTATTGTTCTCCGATTGCTTGGCCCGAAAAACATCTTGTATGTAGAGTTTAAGAGGAGTTTTCTTGTAATAAGCCATACAACTTAGAAATGCTGACGCTAACAAAACCTTAAAACTAAAAGTCAACCCTTACACCTGAACTCCGTTTTTAAATTCTTTTTTAAAAGCACTTCTTAAATCGTAAACAATTATAAATAGTAATCATTAAACTAAAATCCGTTTGTAGTTTCAAATTCAACTTCGAAGTTAAAATGCAATCTTTCAAAGTCATCAGTGAGAGATAACTTTAACTCAAAGTCAAAACTGTCAGTGTTGAGTGTCCTTTGGTTGTTATTAGTTTGTTTTAGCAGCTATAACACACCTTTATAGTTTTTTAAAAGTTAATATGTTTCCTTTTAATTATTACTTTTTTAATTTTGTGGCCTATTAACGAGACTTTTAACTCTATGAATGAATGAATGTGCTAAATAGACAAGGCGATATGTACTAAAAATTATATCCATGTCAGAATGTTATCTCTAATCTAATATATAAAATTCTCGTGTCACAATGTTCGTTCCCATCAGCGTTGCCAGACGTCCCGATTTTGGCGGGACGTCCCGATTTTTAAATCAAAACGAAACGTCCCGCGCGGGACAGGCTTAGTCCCGCTTTTCGGGAATAACTCGATGGCAATAAGTGTGTACTACCACCACCGCACAATAATGGTACCAACTCTTTCAAAAATACCAGGATATCTTCAAACTTTATATTAAGTATCCTACCATCAAACTGCTTTCCAAAACGCCTTCTTTTTGAAATGCTTCGTAAATTTAATGAAATCAGAGTTACTCATCAAGTTTAATCTGCAGTTATCCTGTTAAGAGTTCTTCGTCTTATTTAAAGAGAAAAATGAAACTTTTAAAGAAGTTATATCTTCATAGAAATATTATTAATAAGTAATTTTTATAAATAATTACTGTCTTATTGTAAGTTGCAATTTGAAGCACTCACCCTTCTAAGTATTGTTTTAAACGCTATATATTTCTAATAAATAAAACTTTTTTTATTTTGATTTTTTAGTTTTTTAATCAGAAGATCAATAAGAACTATTTAACGATAGGTTTAATCTGATTTAAATACATTTTCTGTGACTATTTCCGCTGTCTATTGTCACGCAAACGTGATTTGAACTCAATTAAAAACATAAATATTTAAAAAATTCTGATTTAAAATTTTTTTTACTATGTCCCGCTTTCGACAAATGAATCCCGCTTTTTTCACTTTAAAAGTGCCAAAATCCCGACTTGACTAAAAAGAAATCTGGCAACGCTGGTTCCCATACTCCTCCGAAACGGCTCGACCGATTTTTATGAAATTGTTTATGCATGTTCAGTAAGTCTGAGAGTCGGCTACTATCTATTTTTCAAACCCCTAAGTGATAAGGGGTGGCCACCCCAAAAAAAAAATTATTTTTGGATAAAAAATTTATTTTTTTATTATGTGCCAATTAAAAATACATACAACCCTAAATTTTCACCTCTCTACGATCAACCCCTTATTTTTTATTTGTTAATTAAAATCTTATGACTCGAACTCGGAGGTTTATATAGAGAAAAATTCACAGAAAAACCTAAAAAGTTTTCATTCCGAAAAACCAAACACTAGTGTAGCAATATGTTCCATGTTGGTATGTAATAAAAAGGTAGGCTAAGTAAAATCACATTAAGGAGAAACGAAGTTCGCGGGGGCAGCTAGTTAATATATTAGGTCCTTACATATGAAATTGGCGTATTTCGTACTGGCCACTTTAATCACGATGTTCTCCTCTTTGGTAAGGAATTCCAAAATCATTTGTACAGCTATTTACTCATGTATTTGTGCTTCGATGACCGTCATTCATTTGTTTTTTTCTTCTGTTTTTTTCTATTTGCGTCACTTACAAAATGGAAAACTTACGTTAACTTAACTTAACTACGT